TAATAATAATAATAATAATAAAGAAACTTGGTTTACAATACTGCTCCTCCTTATATTGGGAAGTTCCTTAATTAAACAATCCCCTTACACAAAAAAAAACAGTGTTAGATTAATTAAACTTTAATTTCCTTAATTAGCAATAAAATAACTCTTTACAATTAATATTCATTAATATAGACATTAAAATCACTAAATCATTAATATAATTGAATGCGTGAAACAAAATACAATCACAGTGTGGATTGATTAAACAAATAATTTTTCGTTGTTTAAGGGACGAAGATGGGGTGATATCTCCCCCTTTATCAAAATTTCTTGTCTTGTCGCTGGGGAAGTTCTCTTTAAATCGAGGGAATGCACTGATGGTTCCACCTGTATTGATTGATACGCTAGAAGTGGTCTCGACAGGTTGAATTAACTTGGGCAAATATTTCTTTATAGTTAACTTATTGGCTGTTCCTACTTCCAAAGACAGTCATGGTGAATGACCTTCAGTTTAAAACCCCTGTCCTTCCACATAAACTACCTCATTGACTTGTTAGCTGCAGCATAAGACTTTTCCTAACATCTACTTAACATTAGAGATAACTTTTAGTAGCGTGGATTGTACAGTCATATCATGTCACCATTGAGAACTCTAATCGTATCAGTATTTACATAACACCTACTCTTCATCTTATCACAAGTTGATTTTAAGTCTTTCTTGGGTAAAGTCACGTATGACATCAGTGGTGTTCCTTAAATTCACTGCAAGTTCAGTGTAAAATTACTAAGTGATTTTATCATCAGGGTTGAGCATAAAAGTTCCAACAGCACTTTCAGTTTTTTTCCATAGATCAGTGATCTATGTAGATAATTTATGTGTAGGAATCTTGAGTACAAGTTCTCTGACGCTCATCCACATAAACGACTAATTAAAAAGTTTGCGGTTTTATCTTTATTCTCTACACCACCTCATCAGAAGAGGGATGAAGGGTTGTTTTTCTAGTATTTTCCATCTCAAGGATTGACACATTTCACTCATCAAACAAGGCTAATTCATAGTTCAGTTCTTGATCCGAGTGTAGATACCCTAAGTCTTGAAACATATTCATTGACAAGTTCCTTTGCTGGTGTTACTATTTCCTGGTTAGGAGCAGCATTAACTTTTGGCCATTTGGTGAAACAATCCACCACCACAAAGATGTATTTATTCCCACAGTTACTTTGTGTTAAGGGGCCAAGAACATCGAAAGCAATTCTCTCAAAAGGTGCTCCAACTAAATACAGCAGTAGTTGCCTATATTGTTTCGTTGGATCTTTTTTTTTTGGCTCAGAGTATACACGATTGAAATCAAACATATACAGATTTCTGGCATACAACTCAATACAAACATTCTCTTATTCTTTACAGCGTCCAGCTGTTGGGACGTAGTATAGATGACGGAGTGATTGTGGAAGTAACAGCTACAGTCATAATTTCTTTTCACTAGCGTCTTTCCTTTTCTAACATAAGCCATTTCTTAGGCATAAAAGCTATCACTATGCTTAGTATACCCCGTTTTAGGACGGCCCATTATTTACCTCTAAGACCATTCTGCACAATTCTTGTCCAATGAATAATTGGCCTGATCATCTTTCGTTGAGTGCTGAACCATATTGGTTCATCATCATCTTCTGTGAATTTCCCATCTTAGATTTTGTTCTCTTGCACTTTAGGTTGGCCATAGTGTTCATGATAATGCACTAACATTTTTATGATTCTATTAAGGACAGTGTATGATGTTAACGTTGTATTCCTGAAGTTTCTGTATCTATTTTGCTGTCTGGCCTTCTGGATTGTGAAACCTCACCAGCCCCTTCAATGATGTATAATCTTTCCTTAAGTCCTCCACAGCTTTTGTAAATGAAGTGGTAAGTTCTCTTTAAAAAGATCTGATATCAGGCTTCCTACAGTTTCCAAATTTTGTCTCTCAGGTGACCACTTCTGATCTTGTTGATGTGGTAGTACTGCTTGTACAGCTTCACATCTTGCAACGTTCTATCAAGAATTGACTCTGGTTTCATGGTTCATTGGGTTCTCCCAACCAATAATCTTCCAGGAAAAGCTGAAATATTTGGTCCCTAGATGTAAAGTTATTCCTAAAACATCCTAGTATGAGTACATTGCGGTCCCGGTATAACGCGGTCCAGTTATAACGCGGAACTCCGTAAAACATGGATCCGTCTTAGACTTTAAAATTTTCCTTCAGATTTATTCTTTCAGAACGTATTTCCAATCTTTTCATGATTTATCGAACATTGTTGAAGAATAAATGTTCCACAAGTGACAAACTTCCACCAGATAATAGCCATTGTCAACCAACAAGCAATTCAATAAAATGAAACTTTATTGTCAAGCTTTTTCAGATCACACTTTTCACAAAAATATGAATCTAAATAAATATGATATTTAATATTCACAAAACTGTGTTCCTTGTCGACTGCTGAGTTATCGTTTACACCCTCTTTGTTATTTTAATAATAAACTTTTGATAATAAAACACGTAGTTAAATTCATAGTCAGCCAATGATATGGCAGCCTCGTGAATAATTAAGGAGCTTAGGCAATGAAATTTCCACATCCGTGTAAATATGGATCAACTTTAGGTTTGTTTGTTTGTAATTAAGCACAAAGCTACATAATGGGCTATCTGTGCTCTGCCCACCACGGGTATCGAGACCCGGATTCTAGCGTTGTAAGTCCGCATACATATCGCTGTGCCACTGGGGGACGTCAACTTTAGGATAATGCGGTCTCGCGACATGGACCTCGCGGGACCCCAGTGTATTTCTCTTCTTGGTTGTATCAGGCAGGTGATAGCACTAACTATGTAGGAATGGCGGATTGTTAATCGAAATGGGATTTTAAATATCCTCTCAATAGGACATCAGAACTATACATTATTTATTACTTATATAGTGTTTCCTTTTATAACAATATCTATGTAATGACTGAGTCATAAGCTCTGGAAATGTTTGTAAGTATCATATCATAGCAAAAATAATAATTAGAAAAGGTTTGAATTTCTTGTTCTTATTTCTTCTGCTTCTTTTTTATTACATGATAAGTCCAAAACCGAAACAAGGGTGTCAACCAATTTCACTCAGGTGACATAGTTTCAAACGAAGTATCCGCTTCTATAAGTATTATTAATAACTAGTAGTAGTTTAAAAAAAAATCATGATAATAGTGTAAACGATGTTATCATTACCTCTAGAAGTTAGCTTACAGAAATTTGGTGTTCCTTTAAAAAGCTTAATGACAGGGTGTAACAGGAATTACCAGCCAATAATAGATAAAAAATAAATATTGTAGTTCGAACTTCATTGTATTTAGAACTTGATTATAAAAACAACCTTCCTATGTCTGAAACACTGCATTAAAAAAAACAAGTAAAGAAAAAACTTTAAAAAAAGGAAGTAAATTAGGGATGACTAATATCAATCTTTAAAAAATAATGAAAAATAAGATAGTAGGGATGATATTTCCATCATCCCTACACAATAGAACAGGCAAGAATTAACATATAACTATTCAATCACAATTGAGTTTAATTTATCCTTTTTTTGTCTGTTAACATTCTACTACACTGTGTGCCTGTGCTATTATGTAGGGATAATGCAAATGCCATCCCTACTATCTTGTTTGTATTGTTTCCAAAGGATTGATATTAGCCATCCCTACATTTACTTCATTTTTTGAAAAAAAATTTCTTTACTTGTAGATTATGTGTGTCACCAACTTGGAATTTAAAAGCTTTATTTTTTCTCTGGTTCTTCTGTTAAAGGTAAAATAGCTAATTCTAGCTGTTTAGAAATATTTTCACACAAGTAAACAGTCAGGTTTCAATCTCCTGGTATAAAATTTTATGATTTGTAAAAAAAAAGTCAGTTTGACTTGTGTACATAATTCTGCAGGTCCTCCTTTAACTTTAGATTTTTAAGAAGCTATTTGTAAGATCGATCAAAAGTAAAAAACAAATGCCTTTAATTATATAGCGGAATATGTGTGTAAATAAACGAAGTGTAGTTTTTAGTAGCTTCTACACGTCAAGTAAAGTGTTGAATGATTGTTTATATAATTGGAGTTATAAAGCCTCATTTTTACATGACTTTACAGATATTAACCCTCCTATAGAACTCGGAACTTAGGTTAAGTAAGGTCACTCAACCTTATAAATATTTCAGATCATATTGAACATAGGAAATTTCAAACAAATTGAAACAGCCTTGAATTGATCTTTTTTTTTCCTTACATAGCTTTTATTTTTTTATGTTAAATATTAGAATCTAATTTAAACTCTCATTATACTAAAATCAAAAGTATGTTTAATTGCATCATAACGATATGGAAACCAGTGTCGGGTCAAATAGACGTCAAACATTATGAGGTTAAGTGGTTTTATTTCGGTAAAGTTAATTATTTAGCACGTCATTACAAGGTTGAGTAAAAACATATATTCTAGTCACTTATCAATTACTATTGGAAGTTCATACTTTTAAGTAGATTACTTTTCCTTACCGTGAGAGATGCGAATTATTTTCCATGTTGCTGTGGGATGTTTGACAGTTAGAATCTTCCTCTCTAATAAAGCAAGGTCTAACCACTGAAACGCAATGAAACGTGTTGTGTTAGTTGAGCAAGATTTACCCACTGAAACACTATAAAACATTGTGTTATATGAACATGGTCTAACCACTGAAACACAATAAAACATTGCGTTATTTTAACAAGGTTTAACCACCGAGCATAATGAAACATACCATGTCGTTTGAACATGGTTTGTGTAATGTTGTTTTTTTTGTTAAGCATAAAGCTACACAATAAGCTTCCCGTGTTGTGCTCACCATGAGCATTGAAACCTGGTTTTTAGTGTTATAAGTTTTAGACTTATCGTTGAGCCGTTTGGGGAGGAGGGGGGGGGGTTCTTAATGCGAAGCTACACAGTGGGCTACTTGCACTTTGTCCACCGCGGGGAATCGAAACCCGGATTATTACATTGTAAGTCCGTAAACTTACAGCTGACCTTTCGGGGGACAGTGGACAGGGTCTAACCACCTAAACGAAATGTAAAATATAGTCGAAGAAAAACGTCCGTACTCTAAAATACAACACGTTATTTGATTGTTTATTTGTAGTTAAACACAATGGGCTATCTGTGCTCTGCCAACCACGGGTATCGAAACCCGGATTCTAGCGTTGTAAGTCCGCAGACATTCCGCTGAGCCACGTTATTTGAACAAGATATCATGAAAATCCGATTCTAAGGAAACATTGTAAAGGCGTTTCTTAGAATTGTGGTTTACTTGTTTTGTGATAATGTTTAATTTATCTTAATAACACGTAAATAATGAAAAGGGAATATTATGTTTATTGTTTTTGTTTAGCATTTTCTTAAAAACTCAAGAAAAAGGAATTTTTCTTATAAAAATGGTCCTTTTTAATACCTTTTTAATTTCTATTTCCTTATAATTCTGAAAACTTTAGTTTTTGTCTTCAAAGAATTGAATTCCTTTAGTGAACAGAATACGTAACTTTGCGTACTAAAGTAATCCATAAACAGAAAGTAAACATATGTTATACTAATTGTAACTCGGCGATCACTTCACAAAACGTTAACATGTTATAGTGCTAGTTGATGCCAATGATTTGGAGAATGTATTAGATAGCTTGTATATCGAGTGTCTGATTGAATATCATACAATTAATGAAATTAATTAAAGTAGTTGCAAGTCGATACGCTATTGCAGGCACAAGTTACGTTTACTTATCTTTAAAATATCGAACGTACTGATCTTACCAGTGAAAACCATGGATGTTTGGTCTATTCTTAGCACTGTTGTGAAGATTGTAATATTAAAGGGAACATGACAAATTCTTTACATATGTTGGCTAGCTACAACGTTCTCTAAAGAACGATCTGAAGTAAAGTCATTTCTGTTGATGTTGAATGAAAATAAAACATTTTCTGCAAATTAACTAGTATTTTATAATATAAAATACTCTTTGGAAGTAATCTATCCACTCTTTATGTACATTATGGTATTCTTTTGGAAACATTAACGATCTTATAAATTAGTCCAGAATTCGAGATGAAAAGGGAAAGAAAACAGAACAAATAAATAGATAAAAATTCGTCTGTGTATATTATGCTTCATACTGTATTTTCTTGTGGAACTTCTTTAATACATTTTTTTCATGTTTGTAGTTTGTTTATTTTAATTCTATATTGTTGTGCTATGTTGTCGTCATTATAATGCCAATGGTGCATGAGTACTATTATTTGTTACTCGATCTGGTTCAAAGAAAAAGTACATTGTCATCCATGACACTGTTTCTTCTATAGGTGAAGAAGTCTGTAAATATCTACGAGCAGTTCACGATTTGACAGAATGTAATTCAACAAGTAGTTTCTTAGAATAGGCAAAATGAAAATATTTGCCACAATCAAGGCTTATCGTAAAGACTTATGCTTTTTGCTGATTTTAGGCAACGATACACCCAAAATACATTGTAATGTTCTACTTGCTGGAAAACTCCTTTTAAGCAAGTTGTTCGGCTAGGATTTTGAAAATCTAGATGATTTGCGCCACTTTTGTTTAATTGCAAAGAAATTGCTTGACCGTACCAAGCTCCCACCAACAAATCGTTGTATTGATATTCACATTAAAATGGACAACTTTCAAACGTTTATCTGGATTCATGCATTGCAGTCCATTCTTCGCCTACAATCTCCAGTTACTAGAGGATATATGATGATGCTGGTACAGGTATTCTTTAGTGAAAATAGAAGTAATTCTCTAAGTCAGTACAATGACATCATCATTACTTTACTAAACTTTGTCAATATTAAACAGTAACATAATATTTTGACTCTAAGACATCTTCTTATAGTATACACAGCTTAAAATGTACAAAGTTTCCTCGCGTCTAAAATCACATTACTAAAAATACAGCAGTGAATAAGTAAGTATTAACCATCAAATTACCGACTGATTATATACCGTTCACTGCCAGTGGGGTCCACGTATTGCATCATATAGAATGTTTTAAAAATTGGGTGAAATCATTCTTTTTCTTTGTAAGGGACATAGGATAGATCAACAGTAATTAGAGAGCTTAATTACAATAATGATAATATTTTTTGTTTAAAGTTTTTATGTTGCTCATATGTTATTAGGGAGCCAGTAGCCATTAAAGTCATAAACTCACAAGAAACTTGAAACATAAATGGTTTAAAAAAAATGTTTTTAAATAGCCTATAGGGACATGGATCGATCGGTAATCCATTTTAAGGCTATTAACTTAACTCTTTAGAAGATAGCACATGGCAACCATTACCGAGTGATATATATCTAATCTTTAGACCACTATATATATATATATATCAAATAGACTTAAATCGTTTTAAAAACTATTCAACAAGTGATCTTCATAGGATTAAACTTTTGCTATTAAAATAGTTTTAACATGACCTAATCTGATAATGTGTCTTACTTATGTACTTTCTGACAATTCAAAGATGACATTTAATCAATCTTGTTCTGAAAAGCCTTTTTTCTAAAAGTTTCTCATTATCTTCTATTACGTTAATGACATCGATGGTCTTAGGCACATTTAGATAGCTAAATAAAGGCTAGCGATTAGATCAAAAAGTGAAAAATAAATAAATGTAAGCATAAACCCAAGTCAACCACCTAATTACCACAGAATTAAGCTCTTCACAACGAAAATATTATTAGAGGGCTTAATTCGCACCTTACTAAGAGGCAGCTGTAAGATAAATAGGCTTGTGTTTGATAATATCCATATTAGTCAAAATAACTTTCAGGTTATGATTATAATTTGAATATTTTTAAAAACGTAAATTTAAAATAATCCTGCAGCATATTTACATTAATATGTTTTCATCATTATACTTCAATATGTCGATGATATTATCTTATTGTAAGTGGATATAAGCCATACAGTTGATATCGCCCTCTGGTATCAGCTCATAAAAATGATAATGCTGTATTTAGTTACCTTAATCAAGAGAATATGTGGGTGTCACAAAATCTGTTTAATACTGCGCCATAAATAACCCTTCATAGTCTTAAAATGAAAGGTGAGGAATTATTGATCTTATCAGTTAATTTATCTGCTACTCTATTAGATATGTCCGACACATTGAGTTGTCAGTATTTTATAAGATTGAAAAAAAGACTTATTCATGAAAATTAGAATTACCTACCTCAATGAAACTTAAAGCCAGGTAATACACACTGCAAATTATCATTTATAATTGTGTTGCGCATATACACCAACCTTGTAACAAGTTTTCACATGAGCTGTCGTCTGAGGACGAGGAGTTTTCAGGGATGGAGGCCATGATGTGTTTCTTCACTATTAATGGTTCCTCCACTTTCCTGAGCTCAAGTACCAAATTTTGAAGTTCAATAGTTTTCTGAAAGTAAATATGAATAACCATAATCAATAAATATGTTTGTATTTTATTATGAAACGCTAGTGAGGCTTGCCATTTCTCAACTTTCGAAAGTTAATACTGATAAAAGGGAAATAGACGGGTATTTATAAAAAAATTGGCAGGAAATACACCTCCAAAACATTGTTTTTCAAATAGCTTTTTTTTTCGCCAGTATCAAACACTTAGTACATTTTTATAATAATATATACTTTAGCAGCTTACATAACTACAAGTCTGCTGTGTTTGGGTTTTCATGTGTATAAACGAACATGTTTAGATTTTTTTTTTAAATTTCTGATAAAATATGCGTTTTATTTCGTTTCAACATATAGCTATAGCGTAAGCAACACAATATAATGTTATTTATCTCCGGAAATATAAATGTAACTTTATCAAAAACATCATTGTAATAATATCAAATTTGACGTAATATCGTCAAAGGCAGTGTTACACAAAGTTCTCCTGGAATTACTTTTAAATAAACTTTCATGGCGGAATTTTGTCGGAGTCTGAAATTTCTCTCTAAATCAACAACAAAAAAGCATTATTCTCAAAATATGTGAATTAGAAAGGATTAGGCAGTATAATGTTTAATATAAAATACCTCGTTTAATATCTGTTTCTGTCTATAATTCTGATTTTCAAGAACTTTAATTTTGTTGTATATTTCGTCGTCGCTGTCTTTCCTTGAGCTTTTAAAGGGCTTCAACGTAGCTCGAGCTCTTTTATCTCCTGAATCTGTGTTTCGTCTTAGCTCCACTAGCTGAAACGGAAAAATATTTCTGCTGTAACATTATAGATACTATTATTGAATCTTAATTTTAGACAAAAAAAAACAACAACAACAAAAACCTGTGTGTAAAGTTTGAGTTGCCTCTAATATCATTAGAGCACAAGTCTTTTTCTTTTTGGTAGCTTAACTTCACATATTTCTAAGTGGTCAATGCTGGATGCTTCGTACTGTAAGATAAAATCATCCGTTCAATAAGAGCAAGTCCTTTTTTGATAGCTTAACTTCACATATTTCTAAAGTTGTCATTGTTGGATGCTTCGTGCTGTAAGATAAAATCATTAGTTCAATAAGAGCAAGTCCTTTTTTGATAGCTTAACTCCGCATATTTCTAAAGTTGTCATTGTTGGATGCTTCGTACTGTAAGATAAGATCATTAGTTCAATAAGAGAAAGTCTTTTTTTGATAGTTTAACTTCACATATTTCTTAGTTTTCATTGTTGGATGCTTCGTTCTGTTTTAGTAAGATAAAAGCATTAGTTCAATAAGCACAAGTCTTTTTTTTTATAATTAAATTTCACGTACTTACAAATGTGTCAGTGTTGGATGCTTTATTGTTTTAATAAGATGAAATAATAATTCAACGACTTAATTAATGAAGAAAAAACACTGACAGCTGAAAACAAATACTTCTCTCATTAACGTAGAACTTTTATGATCAATTTCAAGTAAGAAACCAATTTCTCAAGTTTATAAAGATGATTTCTTAAATTCTATCATTATAGTTAAGTGAAATCCACAATATAAATGTGTAAATAAGTCTGCTAACATTTTGATGTGGAAAGTGACAACGATTAATATTAATTATCGTTTGTGATTTTTTGTTTTTTCATATATTTATGCATATATTTCAAAATATTGTATTATTTATCATTTTAGTTTTCCAAATATGCATAGATGTCACAAAAACAAAACACCAAATCATTTGGTTTATAACAAAAATGTTCTTTCAAATAAAGGCTGTGAACGAAAAAAGTAATGATTCATAAAACATGCAGAACTTCGGAGTTCACGTCTCTGGAAATTATGACCAAACAAAGCCAGGGTTTACTTTTCCATGGAGAGTTACAGTTAGATATCAGCTCCATTATGGGATTATTCCGCTAAAGATCCAGGTCCATTACATGCATTTGTCTTAAATAAAAAAAAACGTTTTTATAGTTTCATGTTACATGGAGCAATGCATAGCCGTATAACTCGGTAAATCATTATCCATAAAAGCCTTCTGTACAAAGCATTTTTATAAGGAAACATCATGTGAGACACGAGGACAGGTACCTATGCAAGACGTAAACTTTTCTTGTCAAAAAATAATAAAGGCCAAATATCGAAATGGAAAATTTCGAGTGGATTTTTCTTTGTGCTGCTACAAAACTATAAAACTAAAAAGAAAAAAAAAGCGTTTGGTAATAACAAGGAATATTAGTTTTAAACTTAACACTTATAGAGGGAAATTTGACAAAACTACTAAGACTTTTTGCCACCATTCCTAATTTTGAACTACTAACCAGAGGGTTAGTTTGTTTGTTTGAAGTTAAGCACAAAGCTACACAATGGGCTATCCGTGCTCTGCTCACCATGGATATCGAAACCCGGATTCTAGCGTTGTAAGTCCGCAGACACACCACTGTGCCACTGGGGGCTAATCAGAGGGAAGGCAACCTGATAACAACATCTCAGCACTGAAACGAATTGACTGTCACTCTTAAAACGCACTACCAATAACTTAAAATCTTAAAAATATTTGTGGTATCGCAAGAATTTCGAATCAGGCTCACCAACTCTAACATCCAGCACTCTACCACAACTACTAATCCGTAACCAAGTGCTATAAATGTAAAATCTATGAATGAAACTAAAGCAAAAGCAAACATGAGCTTGACTTAAAAATAACACTCTTACTTTCTAATAACTAGAAGAAAAAAAAGGACCAAGTTTGTAGCGCTTTTAATTTTTTTTAAGGAAACCACTTACTTTACTTTATGAACTAGTCCACAGAGTATTCTGGAAGGTTAATAAATTGATACCAAATATAACCTTTTTATATCAAGCTTGGTTGAAAGTATCAGTGGTTCCCGAAAACGACAAATTTTGGTGATAACCAAGGAAACAGTGCCGTATGTAAAAACCTCATACATACATGCTCATTGTAGAGAAAAAGTGAACATTTTAAACTGCACATGGAAACTATGAGTTGGTTAGATTTTATATATTTTCTGAGTGATCCCTATCGTCTTCTTTTTTCCGCTATGTTTAAGAAGAAAAAAAAATCTATAATATCGTAAAGTGCATTATATAAAACCTGCTTAGCTATTATGTCTGGTTAACGTCCAACAGACTAAACCACGTGAGATACATTTCTTTACAACAGCTCAATACATGTTTACTAAGCGAGTTTCTATTCTTGTAAGCACCCAATATATTAATTCACATAGTCAAGTAAGTTTGGGAGTTGTCTGAGTTAATCAACCATGCAGACCAAAATCATGATAAATAACTAATGGTCTAAGCAATATAGAAAAGGCCTCGGTATATGACCGAAGATTAAACTTTATGTATGAAAGATAAAATATCTCAAGTTTATATCCATATCAATAATTTGCTTACCATGGAATGGGCGAAACATTGGATAAAACTGAAACTGAACATCGATAAAACATATATTAACAAAGTCAGATACATTGTAAATATGGTTGAAACTCACACTTAGAAGTAAGATACACAAAATAACTTCCAATTTAATACTCATTGAAAAATATAATCTCCCACCTAGAACAAGCTACACGAAATACCTTCCAGTTTAATACTCATTGAAAAATATAATCTCCCACCTAGAATAAGCTACACGAAATACCTTCCAGTATAATACTCATTGAAAATATAATCTCCCACCTAGAATAAGCTACACGAAATACCTTCCAGTATAATACTCATTGAAAATATAATCTTCCACCTAAAATAAGCTACACGAAATACCTTCCAGTATAATACTTATTCAAAGAAAACCATTTCATTCCTGGAAGTAAGCTACAAATACAGCTAGTTTAGTATTCCCACAGAGAAAATATGTTACATCATCTTATGTTATTTTATTGACTTGCAGCAACTAATACAAATCCAACAATAAACAAAATCAAAATTTTTCCCTCAATTCAAGTCAATGTAAATCATAACATATATCAGTTTATAAACAAGACCAATAACTAAGTACTTTATTTCCCTACATTTCAAATTCTGACAGTTTTCCTCTACAGGAAAATTACTTTAAATTTTTCAGCTGAAAAATTCTTAAACATTATTGTGCGACTGTGGTATGCTTCCCAGTGGCACAGTCGTAAGTCTGAAGACTTATAATGCTAAAAACCGGGTTTCGATATCCGTGGTAGGCACAGCACAGATAGCCAGCACATTGTGTAGCTTTGTGTTTAACTACAAAGAAACAAAGCGACTGTGGTATGTGAAACACACCAGGTGTTTCGATCTCCTTTGTTTTAGTAATGTGAATATTTTTTGTTAATTTAAATTTTCTGTACATCTTGGTGCACATGTTAATTTATTGCGTTCAGATGACAGAATGTGGATTGCGTTGACCTTACTGCGCTTATCACACATTGTTAAGAATAATTTCCCTTTGGCGTTTCTGGATCTCTTCATGTATGGTGTCACTGGAGAATTCCATTAAGCCTGAACTAATGAGTTTTCTAGTCGCATCAATCGTGTGAAGGTTCAGAAATACCGAAATATTTCCCCATTTTTGTCATCTGGAGAAGCGTTATCCAAAGTTAATCAGATCTTCTCAACTTTTAAAGTACATAGAAGTACAAATATCCAATGTTTTGTTCCCATGTCTATCATCTGAAGTTGTCCATGTTTTGTATTTTATTTTGTAGTAAATATTTGTTGTCCATTCCATTGTTTTAATTCAGTCAGGTCAAAACGTAGATCAATTACGTTTTCGGATGAACCTTTGGTTAAGGTGGTTCTACACTTACTTGGTGTGATCTTGTGTCACGTACTAGAAATGAGAAGTTAATAAGCAATTATATAAATAGGGTGTTTGGTAAGTTTCGTTGTTCTTGTGAAACTTGACCTTTGGTGTGAGTGCATGTCATAACAGAAGATAAATAATTTTATTGCAGCTCAAAATTTTAAGTTAATCCCAATTTATTATCAATTAATGACGATTGTTCCTTGGCCATATAGCTAATTAAAAAACAATAACACTACAATGTTAGTGTTAATTCAGTTTCAAATTTTGCTTAAGCATTGTCTGACCAGTTTAAATAACCGGACAATTTGTGCACGGCAATTGTAAACCTTGCTTAATTAAAAAAGCAGTTTTAGTTTTATCACGTTTAAAAATCAAAACGGCCGTTTAAAGAATCGCAAGACCTTTTGATACGTTCTGACATTTCTCGTACGTATGGAAGAGTTGTTGTTATTATTTTTTAGTAATTGAATTTGGTTTAGGTTTTCTTTGTCTCAGATTGTTTTTAAATTAATTTAACAACTTTTTCCTAGTTTCACAGTTTTTTTTTAACACAAATCATTCATGAAGAATATGTTTATGATAAAATCGGAGATACAAAATTGGCTCTAGAATACCAGTAATTTAATATGTATATATAGATAAATCTGTAGTGGTTCGATAACATTTGGAATTTTTTTGAGAAACAATATCTTCAAAATTAACTAGCAAAATGTAAAGTAGAATTGGGAAAAAGATGGCTAAAAGTATTTGAAGGAAAAAAACACACTCTTAATCTAAGTGTAGATTATTTGCAAAATATTAGTTCTAGCGTGATAAATTTACTAAAACGCAATTGTTAAGCCTAGGTAAATGTCGAAATAGGTAAATCAACCGAAACATCTTTGGAATGAGAAGACATCGACAATTTTTTGTTGACCAAATACATACCTTGGGTACAAATACCAAGCACAGAGTTGTCGTAGAGCAAAATATGATGAAGACAGATATAATGACAAAAGCAGCATCTTGCTTATCTCTCAATACGAAAGAAATAGCAGCACCGATAACACACATTATCACAACGTTGTAGACACTCATGCCCACATATTTAGAGTCATTTAGTGCAGGAATGCTGACGTGCCGAGTTTCCCAGGCCAGAAAGCAACCAAAAGCCTGAAAACAGAAACAAATAAACTCGTAAAACCCACAAAACAAGCAAAACTCTATGCTTGATCTTGAAATTTTAAGTGTGTGTCAAAAAAAACTATGTTAATTTTAACAGTTTAAGGGAAAAAAATACAGTGACACAGCAGCATGTCAAGACAAACAAATAAACAAGTAATTTGCTCTAGTCTCTCTTAATCTAATTAAACTAATTAGGGAAATAAAGACACAAAAGAAATTAATTGAAGTTTTTAAAATAGAAGGTTAGCTACTAGGACTCCGTATTCTAATGAGTTTCATTTAGAGAGACACACCAGTAACTAAGTGTAAGAGAACAATGTATTTGAAAAATACCATCAAAAGGCCCTTGTATGCGTAAGTTGAGCCCAAAAAAATTGTCATTTTTTCACTCTGACAGAACTCCATTTCTGGGATAATCACCACATCTTTCTTCTTGGTGGACGGCTATGTAAAGTTAGAAAAGAAAGTAATTTGGCAGTTGCTGGTGTTCATGTTCCTTTAGAAAAATATAAAATTGATGTAAATCCGCACAGAAAAAAGATTTCATGTAAAAACGTATTATTTGACGGAGTTTTTAAATTTTTTTTTATCATATATCAAGTGTTTTGAAATATGAGGTAACAGGATTACAAGAATAATATCAGAACTATTATTTCATGCTTTTATTTGGATACTTAATCGTTAATTTTTAATGTGAAAAAGACAAAGAGTAATACACAGTACAGTTGCACATTTGCCTAGACACATTGGATTCTTCGGATATAATCAAAGGGTAATACATAGTACAGTTGCACATTTGCCTAGACACATTGGATTCTTCGGATATAATCAAAGGGTAATACATAGTACAGTTGCACATTTGCCTAGACACATTGGATTTTTCGGATATAATCAGTCAAAAGGAAGTTATCTGCTATCCTCTGTTGTTGTTTTTTTTGGGGGGGGGAGCATACATACTCATATATTCATTGTTCTATGTATTGTTACACTATAACGCTGAATGATACAAAACATTTTTAACAGTATAACTTAGCTAAGGTATTAAAGTTTTTACTTTTATTGTTTTTTTTTGTTTTACCTATAGATCTTTCATAAACTTTTCTTAAACATTGAATACTGTCACACGATTAAAAATACCATAATATTTTCTTAATTAATTAAGGAAGAAATAAAATACTTTAATTTCTAATAGAAAATTATTCTCTGTGAAAAATTCTTTGATAAACGAGTATCAACGCTTTTCTTAACCATGGAGCCATCTTTTGTTATCGTATCTTATTTTAATAACTTCTACCCTTATTTTTTTTACTTACTGAAGATAGTTTGAGTACAGGCGTATCATTAGCGAGTGCAAATAAGCCTAACAAGAGTTCGTAGTAATTTATTCTGCAAATTCTCCTGTCTATAAAGAAGTTTTAACGACGATAGTATTTAAAGACAAAATTAATAAAGATCTCTGATAATCAGATAACTTGACTGAGGGAAAAAACATTTTAAAAAATGTTTGATATTGTGTTCAAAATATTCATATTCGCAGTTAATAGTATTGTTTTTCCCTGGTGGGTCAGCGGACAGAGTGCAGATAGTCCGTTGCGCAGTTTTGCACTAAGAAAGTAACAACACTAAGTATTTACTTGTGTATGGAAGTACGTTATTGTAATATAATAGCAAATTAATGAACAACGATTTATATACACAATGAAGTAAGTTTATTTTGGGGAACATACTACATGTTTCGATAGAACATTCGTCTGTCTTCTTGGAAATGGTCAATATCTCATTGAACAAAATATATTCTGAAGAGAGAAAAAAGTGTACAATAAGTGAAAACTATATGTGACACTGCTAACATTATTATAACAATGCCCTTTGTAAATCAGTTTAAAACAAAAACGCAATTAAGGACTCGATTAATTTTAAATACTAATTTAACAAACTTTATTGTAACGGTATATTGATGACTCGGTCGTCATCTGTAAAAGTTATATTGATGAATTATTACAGTACTTGAACAATAATCATATGAATGTAAAGCTTATACCTGAATATGAACATGAATCTAATTTACATTGATTCAATACTTTGGGCCCTCCAGTGGCACAGCGGTATGTCTGCGGACTTACAACGCTAGAAACCGGGTTTCGATACCCGTGGTGGGCAGAGCACAGATAGCCCTTGTGTAGCTTTGTGCATAATTAAAAACAAAACAAACAAAAAAAATACTTTGAACATCTTAAACAATATAGTTTCAAACTGTGTATACAGTAAACCGACTTTTACAGGTCTATATGTTTATTTTGATAGGTACTTTTCTAGAGTTTCTAAGTTAATTTGGTAAAAGTTCCGAATCTTGCTGACAGGATAGTAATCAGGTATCTTCTGTTACATGAGGAAATAATTATATTAAAAATTGCTACATTAAAGAGAAAGTAAATGACGAACTCTTTTAAGATGGTACTGAAATTATTGACCAAAGGATTACATTATAAAACAAAGTATATGCATATCAGTCATAGGTTTTATTTTACCTTAAGAATTAATATATATCAACTGTAACTGCATTTCATGCTACACTATTTGTACAACACCAACAGTTTGTTTATAAACTTCCGTTGTGAACGTAATTCCAATAGCCATTGAAGTAAATACCGTTACTTTTATATGAAAAATATTACATTAATTTTTACAAATACCACTTATCCTAGTAAAGACTGAATGTGATTTAGATTTTTTTTACCAGAGCTATGCTTTCAAATAGTTCTTGATCTGCATATATTTTAGTTTAATCAGCGATCAGAGTAATGGTTCATTGGATATCTTGATGACACTGGAAATGTATTGATGTAGTATCCAACCTATGTTCACGAACAGAAATACGCGAATCGTTCAGCTTTGCATCACAAACGACTTCTAAATGGCAGTCATTAAACAAATGGATTAGTTGGTCTGTCAGTTGGATCATGACAAGGATTTGGCAACTTGCCGGATAGATCAGACCTCACTCATCTTTTTCACCTTTCATAATGATAATGACTACTTACAATCTTCTTATGATCGTTATTGTACAAGCTTTCAGCAATACTTCACTGAATATACCACATTTACTTTTTTCAAATAAACAAAATATTATTTGAACTGATAAGCGTTTAGGATTTTTTTTTCCAGTATCCTCATTAATTTTCAAAATTGATGCACAGCATAGATTTAGTAATGAACTTTTAGCGCAACAGATGAAAGTATAATAATACTAACAAATGGTTAATAAAATCCTGCAAATCTTAAATTTTCATTTGGCAAAATATTAAAGCCAATAGATTTTGTACTATGAAATATTGACCAAATTGTCAATAGCAATAAAACTAATTATCGATATTAGAATCAATGTGAAATACACCTATCATAAGTCTGACAAGAGTTTTATTGCCTGGCTAAGCAAAGTAGTATGAAGGTTATTATATTTCCAGGTAAAAAGAGACAAGTAGCAACAGTTGGTTTTAAAAAACTCTCCAATTCAGTAAGTAAGGGATTTAAAGATGCTCCAATCATTTCGTTGTTTACCATTTCTAACTCCTTTCCAAGAAGCAAACAGTTATGCTTCTTTGGGCTTACAAGTGAAAGGCATGGAATAATTGATTGCTTAATTTTTCATTAGATTTTGTTATAATTATGTAAATACCTTCGTCACTAAATATCTTATCTAGATTTATTAACCCTAGTTAAGCATTATTTTAGACATGGAACATTTTTTCTCATAACCTTTCCTTAATAAATCTATTACGGTTATCCCCCAGTGGCTCAGCAGTAAGTTTGAAGGCTTATAACGCTAAAAACCCGGTCTTCAGTATATATATATATTAAAATTATTTATAGATGTTATGGTACTTTGAGGAAATTTTGATAAAAATACAGACACATATCTATAAACAAAGCATTTGTATAAATACTATGGTACCTTCAGGAGATTATCTATAACACTGAGTACTTTTAATAGGTTATCTATAAACAGTATGGTACTTTAAGGAGGTTATCTGTAAACAGTATGGTGCTTTAAGGAGGTTATATATAAATAAAGCGATACTTTAAAGAGGTTATCTATAAAGAGTGCGGTACTTTTAATAGGTTACCTATAAATAAGGCGGTACTTTAAAGAGGAGTTCCATAAACAATGCAGCACTTTAAAGAGGTTATCTATAAAAAATGCAGTACTTTTAATAGGTTATCTATAAATAAGGCGATACTTTAAAGAATGCGGTACTTTAAAGAGGAGTTCCATAAACAATGCAGCACTTTAAAGAGGTTATCTATAAAAAGTGCGGTACTTTTAATAGGTTATCTATAAATAAGGCGATACTTTAAAGAATGCGGTACTTTAAAGAGGTTACCTATAAACAATGTAGTACTTTAAAGAGGTTATCCATAAACAATGTAGTACTTTAAAGAGGTTATCTATAAATGATACGGTATTCTATAGTATTTAAGGAAATTACCTATAAACAATATGAGTTTTTAGTAAGGTAAATGCTATAATATTTTTAAACGCTTTCTACTTAATAATACTACACTCTAACGAGGTTCTTTATTGACAGGACTTTATCTTGAAGACGTTATGCATAAATAATACAAATAAAACATTTTTATCTATAAGAAAATTTGCAGTTAATAGTATGATTGAGAATGCTAATGTTAAATGGGTGAGTTAAGTAACAGTTCATCTGTTCAGAAGATTGATTATTACCAGTACCATCACTAATTATTGAAAAGAAAATATATGGAATGTCTGAAATTTTATCAACAGTCTTATTTTTATAAAGCATCTTTTAAATAGTGGAAATCAGTTCTTAAGGAAACATAAAATATGATTTTTGTAATTGTTCAATTAATCACTGAGCTACGTGCTCAGTGGAATTGCTGAATATAAAATTCAGTGAATTTGCAAAACATGTTGTACTTACATTTAAAAAGATAATGGATTGTATTCTTTGTTATCATGACGTACTATGGTAGGGTCAAAGCGGTAAAAAACAGTGTGCTCAAAAACTCAAAAGACAAAGTGTTTTGAGTGAGGAATTGTGAAGAGAAGTATCGCACGAGAAAGTTACTGGATATGAATTAAATTGGAAACTATGAGTTCAATTAACATTGTGGGAGCACACAAGTTGACATGGAAACTATGAGTCACAGTTTAGTTGCTGGAGCAGGCAGATTAATATTGAAAACTATGAATCACAGTGTAGTTGTAGGAGCAAAAAGGTTAACATTGAAAACTATGAGTCACAGTTTATTTGTAGGAGCAGAAAGATTGACATTGGAAACAATGAGTCACAGTTTAGTTCTGGGAACAGACAAGTTAGCATTGAAAGCCATGAGTCACAGTTTAATTGTAGAAGCAGAAAGGTTCTTCTGTGACGCAATTATTATACTATATTTATTTTAATATCAATGTTTGTTTAGATTATATTTATATTTAGAAATGTACATAACGCATACTGTTAAATATGTATTGCAAAACTCCCGCCTATTCTCTAAAGTTATAGAAGATTATCGAGTGTAATAATCAACAATAGATATGTGTACGTAAACGCTAGTGTAGCTTTGTATTGTTATGTAATCTGAATTTTCGAGAAACTCTCCACACGCCTATAAATATAACCAACGCGACGCGCCAAAAAACAGTATATATTATTGGGTTGCTGTTATTTGTGTGCTATAAGCTTCATAAGTTATAACTGTGATTAACGCTTATTAATCGGGAACTTCAGATATATTGACCAGAAATGTTTATAAATTTCGAACATCACAAATCATTCAACTTCAGTGGATTCACATCGGACATTAGTACTTTTACGAAAACATTATATAACTTCAGCGGTAAAAAACTAAAGCTCGACCAGTAATCAGCGCGTAATCAGTGAATACCACAGAGCTAGCTAGCTCCCTATGAAGTAAATTGTACCCAAGTCAACTCGAAATTAACTCGCTCATCGTGAACCCTCGATAAGACGTCAAGGAAGTTCCAGACTAGAAAGAACACTTTATATTGCTTGTAAGTTTGTAAAACTTTTGTACATAAATCATTGTTTGGAGTAATTATTTGTAATAACTGTTATTGTAAATATTGGTTGTATGTTAAAACATATTTGTATAAAACAACGAAAACTGTGTGTATCAACTTTGTTGTCAAATATCATAAATTGGAGATATATCGGCATTTATTTAACTACGAAATCTGAATTACAACTTAAATCAGTTTTAGGCTATTTGAAATTGTAATACGTAATATAACACCCCATAAAACAATGGGTCACAGTTTAATTCTAGAGCAGACAGGCTAACATTGGAAACTATGAGTCAAATTGTCATTGTAGGAGCAGACAAGTTGACATTGGAAACAACGAATCACAATATAATTGTAGGAAGAGATTGACTGATATTGGAAAATATGATTCAAAGTGTTATTTTGGAAGCAGCAAAGTTAACCTGTAGGCTCGAACGAACCTATAAAATATAAAAAATAGATACTTTGAAGGATTCAATGTCGTTAAAACTTGATATGGACCATTATTGTTTCAGTTGTTTCAAGCTACTTAGCATTTTAATTGAACCATAAAGATTAGTTCTGTGACTTTATTTACAGCTGACGTAATAAGGTTCTTTTTTGATAAGTTGCTTATACACTTAGAATATTTTAGTATGTAATATTATACAAGCGTAATGAATATATATATATATATATATATATATATATATATAGTATTACATTGTTCATCTTTGGTTAGGGCGCTCGACTCGGAATCTGAAGGTCGCGGCTTCGAATCCCTGTCCCACCAAACATGCTCGCCCTTTCAGCCGTGTAGGCGTTATAACGTGACGGTTAATCCCACTATTCGTTGTTAAAAGAGTAGCCCAAGAGTTGGTGATGACTAGCTGTCTTACACTGCTAAATAGCAGATAGCCCTCGCGTAGCTTTGCACGAAATACAAAACAAACAAACAATTGTTCATCTTCCTTGTGTTAAAAAGTTACTCATAGGTTTTTTCATGTAGCAAAAATTAGAAAAACTAAAACTAACCATCATACCTTTTTTCGGAAAGTAGGAAGCATTTGTTCTGGGATAAAAAGTTAATCATACAAAACTGAAATAGAAGACAACACACATTGAAAAGTATGCGAATAATCCTTCATTTCGAGACTCATACACAGACTTCCCTACCACACAATCTATCAGAATCAAATACATACTGCACGCTAGTGAATTCTCTCTCTTATATTTTGTATAGAACCCTGTAGAAGATAACTTATCTATATGAATATTTCTTATATTCACAGCAATAGTGTGGTTGAGTCGCCTATAAACTCAAGATTATTTGTAGAATTCTCTTAAGAACTTTCGTAAGCTTCTTTAGCTTCTGAAAAGTTGTACTTACTGGAAAAAGTATCAAACGAATACTGTCTTTTTTGTGTTTGGCTCTTACCATAGGAGGTCCAAGGCTGGTTCTTCGATAAAAAGGATCGATAATCTGCCATGTGGTTAATATCGCGACGTCAATCATCATCAAAACTCCAACGACCATAAAGAGTTTGTAATCTTTGATTGCCTATACATAAAGAGCACCAAAGTTACTAACAGCAAGTTTACGCAACTGATGAAACTGTGCATTGTAATTTTTATAAGTAAGAGCTTAAGAACAGCTATATTTAATTAACTACACTCATTATTTGGTTGATTTTAGTTATGGTCTATGTAAATAGTTTGATTTCATTGGCAGTTAGTATTAATTATACCTATGACAAAACTTGAATGACGAAAAGAAAGTGACGTACAATACAACCAAAGTTTATGAACTACGTATGTAACATTATATAATATTTATAAGAAATGGAGGGAATTAAAAATTGAGAGAAGGAAGTTCGGAATTCATTGATGTTTAGTTAGTTTTCTTGATTCATTAAAATACTGTTTTAACATTAAAATTACATTCAGCATATCTAAAATTCAAAAACAGCTAAAATGGGGTAGAAAAAATGCATTATTTAAAAACAACGTTTCGCCGCTGTTCTATCCCATTTTAACTGTTTTTGAATTTTAAATTTTGTAGAGTGCGGGATACCTCCAACATTTTTATTTTTATTTACATTGAGCATATTAAACACCGGTCCCTAAAATAAATAAAGCCCAACACAATGAAATGTCCTAGAAAAAAGATTGTGAAACTTTCACAACACTCATTAATACACACACAATTTTCTCTTGTTAGACGTACAAAGTCACTTATAGCTAAAGCTTTTTATCCTAAGCACAATATTTTCACTCGGTTTCAAAAACATCGGGAGCTCATGTTTGATTTTTCTCATTATTACTATTATATTAGACAGACATATATTATATTATATTATATTATTCTCTTTTAGTTACAGCAAGTACAATTAAGCAAACTCGAATATAAACTAATACAATATCTTAAAATTGCCAAAAACTTTGAGCAGAAAAAACACTGAACTTTTAAGTTAAATATTGTATTGTTATATGTCTGATAGTAACTGCTTCTCAATCAGCTTAAAAGAAGTAAATCATAAGAAACTTATATTAAAATAACATGATGAGCGTAGAAATAGTTGAGCTTTCAGCAGAAATGTGTTGTTTATGCTAATTCTTTTAGGCGACTAAAGGATTTATGCTTTCTGTCATTTCTAAGTGTGATTGGAAAACATCATTTAATATGTAACAACGTGAGCTAAATATGTTCTGTTCAGTAATTTAAAACTTACATTGACTTCGTACGCTCAAATGTTGCACAAAAGTGTTTCAGTTTTCTTTTTGTTGTAAAGCAAAAAGCTACACAATGGGCTATCTGTGCTCTACTCTTAGTGGGTATCGAAACCCGATTTTTAGCGTTATAAGCTTACTGACATTCCGCTGAACCAATCGAGGGAAGACGCACAGAAGCATTTAAGAAATTCTGTTCAGTAATTTAAAACTTTTACTTTTTCTATAGATTTTTAATGAGATTTTATTCAAAAGTATCGAAGATAAGTCATAAAACTTTTAATTGTAAGGTTTATTTAACATCATCCATTCCTTGGTCATTGTCGTGTAAAGATAATTAAACAATATGTTGTTAAATAACTCGCACGTTTTTAAGTGTTTATAATTAATAATTTAGTCACTTTTCTACAACTGTTTTAATTATTATACATGATTTTAAGTATCTTTCGAATAAACTAGTATCCTTCGAAAACATGAATGGCTCCCCACTGGTTCAGTGTTAAATCTGAAGGCTTATAACCCTATAAACCGAGTTTCGATACAGTACAGATAGCTCATTGGGTAAAAAAAAATTGAAATTTCCGAAGCATAGATGTCACTTATGAAAGAAACAAAATATAGGAAACCCCGCGAATTCACACAGACACAATATAATTCTTCCACCGTTACTATATGATAAACAACTTGAATAAAAATCTATATAAATATAATAGTACTGTCTGTTGCCTGACCATGTAACTACTTCGCAAAGTGTAGATGGATCTTCACCAAAATTGGTATGGAGGTTGATTAGATTCATGCATATTTTCTGTTTTGCATTTTGCGTTTTGCGGTTTTTAGCCACTACATCGCCCCCTGTTGATGGATCTTCACCAAATTTGTCAGAAAGGTTTGTTGGATCCATGAGGAGAAACATGCACACTTGCGGTTTCAAATAGTTTTGCTTTGCAGTTTTTATGGGCGATTTTTTACAATTACATATAAGGGAAATAATTTTCATATCCTAAGATAACTTTCCATTAATCATGAATTTAGATAACTTCTGTCCAGGGGAGGGGTACTCCGGCTAGTATATAATAAAGTTGGTATTGATTATCGGTAATTTATGGACAGAATGGTACTGATGAACGTTTTTGTGCTAATAGATACAGTATGATGATAAATTCTTTTCATGAGGATGTTCAGAATGCATTAAAACAGATAAAACAGTGTTGCATATATGTTAGTTACAGCTCTATTTAAATAACTTCACCAGCTAACATCATAATATGAAACACTTCTAGCGTTTAATGAATTGTTATTATGTATAATTCCAAAGTAATGAATTTGTTGAAAGCTAGACAAACTAACAAAATAAAATAGATAAATGTGTACTACATATTGTACCAGCCACCTTGATAAGTTTAAGATTTTATATCGTTAAAAGTTTAGGGTACGATCCTCGTAGCGAACAAAGCACAGATAGCCTATTGTGCACCTTCGCACAAAATATAAATAATTTTAAGCTTAAATGAATAAATATTTCTTTAAGATTATTCTAACTCATTTTTGTTGTTTACTAGTATTGAAACCAATTCAGTATGCTCTTCAGCAGCTCAGTAAGTCTGCAGGCTAACTACGCTAAAAATATGGTTTCAATATCCGTGGTGGGCAGAGCACAAATAGTCCATTAACCAAGCCAATTCAGAAATAAATCCATTCTGTTTTATGGTAATTCCACACCTTTTTTCTGTAAGTCTTTTCTTCAGTAGGTTAGCAGTAAGTCTACGGACTTACAATGCTACTATTCCGGGGCTCGATTCCCGAAATGGGCAGAAAATAAATAGCCTATTGTGCAGCTTTGTTCTAAAATAAACAAACAAAACCAATTTTTTCTAAATCATTGTTTGTACAGAAGGAGGACGTATCACGTAGCAGAGAGTGACTGACTTGGCGAAAATAACGAATTGTATTACAGTCGTTACGAGCAATCTTAGACAGTAAAATTTGTCGTTTCTCAGGCTTAGAAAACGAAAAAAACTGCCAGAGAGTTGGAACAGCAAATGGATGTTGTCCACTTTTATAACGTAGACTGAACAATAAAACAGGCCACCTAAAAGTTTCTACTGTAACTCATTACTTTTTGCTCGATAAAATCGTCCACAAGTCTAGAAATATTTCACATTGTTCGAAAAGGAACGCTAAAGCTGTTTGAATTATTTAAGAGAAATACATTATTTCTTAAATCTTTCTTCTTTTTACGGCCGCAGCAATAAAACTGGATCTTGATAAAAATTAACTAACGCCTTAATTTACAATATATATGTAAAAGGTCTAATAAAGACGGCCCTGCATGGCCTGGTAGTTAGGGCGCTCGACTTGCAATATATGGGTCGCGGGTTCGAATCCCCTCATCGAACTTGCTCTCCCTTTCATCCGTGGTGGCGCTATAAGATGACAATCAACCACACTATTCGATTAAAGTAGCCCCAGAATTGACGGTTGGTGATGTTGACTAGCTGACTTTCCAGTGGATTATCACTTCTAAATTAGGGACGGCTGGAACAACTAGCTTTGCGCGACATTTAATAAATAAATACCGTCTTCTTTAGAAGTATGACTGGGTATCTCCAGTTATTGGAATATTTTCTTAAGTATTTTGACGATTTAATTGAACAATATGTTTAAAAATTAATTGGTCCTACGTTAATGATAAATGATTTGTTTGCAGTATTTTCCCGGTCATTCTAAAATGTTTTTTGTTCATAACAATGCCAACATTCTACCATTATTCTATTATTCTATATATTATAGCTATCTACACAGGCCATATGTAATAAATAGCCTGAAACAAAAGTAACTCATTTTTTCTCGCATACAAAAATAGTGTAATTTCATGGTAGGTTGGAAAGACCGTCTTCCAAACATTTTATACAAATCAAACCTTAAGAAATAATGCACGTGGGCAGCATAACAAAGTTTCCATCAAAAATCAAATATTCAATCTGTTTTAAGCTTTTAATATTAAAAGAACCAATTCTGTGATGTTTCTGCTTCGCTTATTGTTCTGCTTATTATGGAAGACCACATCGTTTGAATAATTGAAAATGTTTTTTCTCTAGTTTTCATAATTAGGTTTTTGATCAACAATAAAATGTAAAACTTCAGTCGTAGATTGATCTCAGCTCAGTTATTTCAGTGGTTTACATACAATTCAAATCTCCGGGATATTGTAAATACAACGAAGTTATTGTTTGTTGTTTTTTTTCCCATATCAATGCATTAAAAAACGTTTTACTCAGAATGGAAAATATAAAACTCTTATGAATTCATAGATTTGACGACTAAATTTCAAAACTCATTTTTATTGGCATTTTGAATTGGTCGCATACAGTTTATTACAAAGTATTCCTACATGGAAACGCGCATCGTTCATCTTAATAAACGATGCCTTTAGTAGCTAAAGCAACACCTTTAAATGAAAAACTCTGGAGAATTGATGCGGTATAAAAGACTACATGAATTATTTCAATTTAATTCACTTTAGAAAATACAGATTCTACAGCTAGAATTAGTTTATGAATATTACAGTGTTTATCCAGCTTCTATTCTATATAGTTATTTAAAATCAAGCTGTCGAAGTTGTCATGACAATAAATTATTAAGAGTGTAATAACAAAAACTTATCTTCCACCACACATAAAATTGATAGGATTTCATATCAATATTCTAAAGGACAGAACATCTTAAATCAATTCAAATTTTTTTACTGTTACTTCTTTAAAGCAACATGTACTATAGCTCTTTTCTTTCCGTAATTATTACATTTAAGCAGCTCATTAAGTTTCCCACATCTCTGTTGTTATTAACACACGATGTAACCTGAAACTGAAGGAAAAACTAATACATAGTTCTGTATAATAAACGTTTTAAAACTTTGGTTCTTTTTTATCTTTGGGATTAGGAAATAGAAATACACCATATGGCGTCAAGTAAAGTCAAGTAAATAAAGAGAAGACCTGAGATGTCTTGTTTTATTTGAATTCTAATTAGTGGACATGGTAGGGTTTGAATTTTATATGAACTTCTCTTTGTTTTTGTTGTTAAGATGGACAACTTTTGTACCAGACACTAATTTTCCCTCTTGTTCTGGAGGACAACGTTTCGATCAACTCAGTTATTAAAAATCATAGTTCTACAAAACCTGGCAGGTCAAAATGAAAATGAACATTCCAAACATACTTGAAATGGTATACATATGAACAGATTCAAGTATAGAATAGCTTTTGGCTATGCAAGATGTGATTAATTTCGTTACTAATATTTGATAGTTTATCACGTGTGCCAGTAATATGGAGATTAAAATGACATGTTGGTTTTTTTTTAATATCTTTCATAATTTTCAATATTTGATTACCACATTTGTCTCTTATTTCTACTATTGTTTCCTAAAAGAAATAAGTTCCATTTGTTCATTGTTTTAAGAATTATACTATCAGTCAAATGTATAAGCTTACAAAGAAAACAAGAACAAAAAAAAAAACGTTTATTACCTTCTTATTAAGTTTGATGTCAGTAAAGATGGCGTGGACTCTCCAGGTTTTACTAAACATGGAACCAAAGGCTAAAGTGAAACCAGACATTAATACCCAAGCTCGGCCCTAAAAGAGAAACAACAACAAAACAAAATTGTAATTTCGTTTCATAATATTAACAACCTAAGCATGTATGCTACGTTTTAAGAATAACATGAGTTTAACAGTTGCAGTACAAATCCATAAAATTACTTATTTTTCTCCAAATAACTTTTATTTGATTAAATAATTGTTTTTTGTTTCACTTGTAGTCACTGGTTTGTAAATTAGATTGAGTTAAGGATTATGCTCAACGTATATCAACATGTGTGTTTTCACTTTAAATTTAGTTACTTCAAACATTCCATTGACTTAGATATATCTAACTTCTTCTCTTCAAAGAACAGAGGACGGAAGTTTAGCTAAAGTAGTTTTCAGTGAAGAGTAAAATTTACTTTCTTTAAATCCTCTATCATGGAGCAAAAACAGAATTTTCTATCTATCTATATATATATATAATAACCATACATTGAAATACAGGTAGCAAGAAAATTAAAATATACCATTTTTTACTTCCATAGATACATTTAAAATATCTTTTTCTTTTTAGTTAGGAATAAAAAACAAAAAAGAAAACGAACAAAAGGTTGAGTCTTGAAAGAAATGAATACCAATCGATAAAATTCAGAGTACAAACAGATTTGAAATAGCGACAATGAAAACACAGTCTCCAATGATACTTAATCCTTTTAGGAAACAATTATAAAAGAAACACACAAATGTTGGTAATCGAATTTGGCAAAGTGGGGAAGATAATAAATTGTTTTGAATTTCGCGCAAAGCTACACGAAAGCTATCTGCGCTAGCCGTTCCTAATTTAGCAGTGTAAGACTAGAGGGAAGGTACCTAACTCTTGGGGCTACTCTTTTACCAACGAATAGTGGGATTGACCGTCACATTATAACGCCCCCACGGCTGAAAAGGCTAGCATGTTTGGTGTGACGGGGATTCGAACCCGTGACCCGCAGATTGCGAGTCGAGCTCCCTAACCACCTGGCCATGCCGGGCCAAGATAATAAATGAAAACAGATATGTTATCATAACCTGAAAAAAAATCCATAAAATAACTTTCGGCCAGAATTATACTATAAATAAAATGCGTTAGCTTACCAAAAAACAAACAAACAAAAACAAATAAAACAATTTAAGAAAATTGTACTGTGTTGAGTTTAACCAATAATTTATATATTTTTTTTTTATAAGCTTTTAAGTGGGACTAGGAGTGCACTGAAAAATTATTTATTATCAAGTTACATATAAGCTACTAAACTGTCAAGCTTAATTTAGTAATTACTAAAATAAATATACATTTTCAAAATGTTATTTATGTTTTAGGTGTTAAATTATATTTTCTGTGCCATGCTCATCTTAGGGATCGAGTCCCGAATTTAAGTGTTAAAAACTGATAACTCCTCCAGCTTACCGCTGACCCACCGAGGGCGAGAAACTGATCACTACCAGTAATGAGTTAAGTAAAATGCCACAATTACAATAGGAATAAAGCTACAACATACTTAAAACTCTGAGCCCCCAACTCAATATTTTTTTTTCAAATGGAATGCCATTTGAATACAATATTAATTAATTTTTTTATCTTACAACAATTTACCACTACCTTTTTATTTTAAATACCAAAAGTTTCATGGCTCAATACATGAGTATATATTCTTCATTAACTGAAACTGAAAAGTCAATGTGTGTGCCGTATTTTTCTGATTGTGTAAATGAGTATAATCGTGATAAGACATAAATACGTTAAATGAAAAGATTTATATTTTATAAACGAGTAAAGCATAATGCCTTATATGTGATATGTAAAGTACAAGGTCAAAGGAGTGTTGAGGTTTGAGGTTTGTGTGAGAGGAGGTAAAGTTATCTTACTTTGAAAGTAATTATAATACAATTTGGTTGTAATAAATTTCAAAAATATAAATCGTAATATTGACTGTGCACACTTGGATCAGGTGGTCTCTAGCATCATTGTTTGTTTGTTGGTAATTAGGCACAAAGCTACACAATAGGATATCTGTGCTATGCCCACCACGGGTATCGAAACCTGGATTCTAGCGTTGTAAGTCCGCAGACATACCGCTGTGCCACTGGGGGGCCTCTAACATCATATACGTTCTAAGCAGGTAATATTGTTATGTTCTTTACTTTTATTTGACTCATTAAGCTAACGAGGGTCGCGTATTCGAATCCACGTCCCGCCAAATATACTCGCCCTTTCAGCCGTGGTGGCGTTATAATGTTACGGTCAACCCCACTATTCGTTGGTAAAAGAGTAGCCCAAGAGTTGGCGGTGGGTGGTGATGACTAGCTGCTTCCCCTCTAGTCTTTCATTGCTAAATTAGGGACGGCTAGCGCAGATAGCCCTCGTGCAGCTCTGCGCGAAATTCAAAACAAACCAAACTATTAAGCTAACAACCGGCATACAGTAGGAAATAATGTCAAGTACTCAATTCATTTTAGTTATTTTTAACAGGACTCAGATTGACCATAATGTTTCTTGTCAGCTTAATAATCTCTTGTCGTCAAAGCACATCGAAGTTTGTTTTCAAAAATATACCCTTACCATTTTTATGTGAATGTTCACGAACTAAATGGCTATAAACAAGCCCTATATCGCTAAAAGATGTTGTTGTTTTCGATATGCTAAAATTTCCATTTTCCAAAACATTGCAAAAAGTTAAGCACACGTTTGTTCTCATCACATCTAATTCAAAACGCTAGAATATGTATAAAATTAAAATATTTCAATTAGAAGTGAAAAGCTTCGAAGCATTTTTAATTTCATATATCAAAAAGAAAATAGAGGGAATTTCAAGTATATCAGTCTGTGGATAGTATCATCATACATCAGTTTGTGGATAGTATCATCATACATCAGTCTGTGGATAGTATCATCATACATCAGTTTGTGGATAGTATCATCATACATCAGTCTGTGGATAGTATCACCATACATCAGTGTGTTAATAGTATTATCATACTTCAGTCTGTGGATAGTATCACTGTACGTCAGTCTGTGGATAGTATCATCATACATCAGTATGTTCATAGTATCATCATACATCAGTCTGTTCATAGTATCATCATACATCAGTCTGTTCATAGTATCATCATACATCAGTCTGTTCCTAGTATCATCATATATCAGTCTGTGGATAGTATCATTACATTCTCTAAAATGGTATAGCTTGAAATTATCAAGGCCATACTTCCGAGTTTAATATTTAGAATACCTCTTCAATTTGATTTTTTACTACTGAATCAACATAGTAGTGTAATAACACATGCAGGAAGATATTACTGTAGTAAGTTTTAATAGTTGTATATCAGTAAATTTAACAAGCATTAACATTAGCGTCAGTAGAACTTATTTATATTAAGGAGGTGCTGTATATATACTAGTACTGCAGTATTAGCATCAAACTTACATAAACGTAATTACAGGTTTATTTATAAGCCAATTTTGTGGTTTAGCGATATTTACTGAGACAGGAAGAGTCAAATAATTTACGAGAAGAGTGGAAAATTGAAAAATATATTGTTCAGTTTCTTTCAGTTAATAGAAAAGCCGACCATATAAGTCATATAATTACAAAAATTAGAATTGTCAATGTATTGTTCATTACTAAATTCAGTGTAGCTAATTAATTGATACATAATGTACCAACGTGTTACGTAAATACAAGCAGTTCTTCGAATTCGTTAAATGTAATTAACTATATTTTAGGTAATTTGACGCCTTATAAGAAATATCTAATATGTACTTCTTGTATGGATTTTGGCTATACCCAAGAATCCATTAGAGTACTCACTAATAAATTAATGTGATGTTTAGTACTTCTAATTGGTTTATAATATACATCCCGTTGTGTTGACTTAAAATGTAAGGGTACTCACTAATAAATAGGTGTGATGCGAACTATTAAAATAATATTTAATACTTCTAAGTGGTTTACAATGTACATCCTGATGTGTTTGACTTAATATATAAGAATACTCACTAATAAATAGGTATGATGCGAACTATTAAAATAATATTTAATACTTCTAATTGGTTTACAATATATATATATATATATCCTGTGATGTTTGACTTGGCAACTAAATATTAATCATGAATTTATTAAATATTGTTAATTTACATTATGCATATAACGTACTGCAGATTTTAATTAAAATAAACAGATTTACTTGTTTAAAGTAATAAGTTATTTAAATATTATTTACAACTTTTATAGCATCTTTTACAGTCCTATATTAATTATTTTGACTTTCTTACTTTAAAACAACTGTATAATATCAGTATTTTGACTGCGTTTAAACAAACTCTGTCTAACTGTATAAATAATATCAAAAGGAAATTTAATTAAAAAAGAAAAGAAAGGGGAACTCAAGATCTATTCATGTAACAGTCAGGATGACAATTGACAAACTTACAGCACAGATGTACGGAAAATTTCTTTCGCTTGTGAGTCCACTGTCCATGCCTAACAGGATGACGCTTGTATAAGTTAACATACATCCAATGATGATGAGGTTGTTCAAGTAAGGACTTGACATCTTGATGTTTCTTTATGAAAGGAATAAAAAAATGGTGACTGGGTTATGTATTGTTTCAGTCACACATGCACTAAGGCTTATCTATATGTAATATCATAGAAGATTGTTGATCATGATAATTGTAATTTCAAACTGTCTGTTTCTTAGCTATTAAACTATGTCTGATTAAAACTTTTATTTTCTCTTTTGTATTTGGGATTTACATCAGACATAAAATTAGAAAACATTTCTCTGTTAAAAGCTCGGCCTTCGGACATGGAGATTGAAACGCATTTTGCTATTGTTCTTTAAAACGTAATGCTTATTTGGATGTTACGAGCTTTTAGAATAGTTTTTATTGAATGAGATTTCGTCACAATGAAGGAGCAAAATAATGACTGGCTAGAATCTATTTTCAGCTTCTTCAGATTTCTAAGAATTTCATGTTTCTAAGACGTTTCATGTTTGCTAGCAAGTTTATTATATTATTTAATGATCAATATTTCTGAGCTCTCTCTGTTCTGCAAAATCCAGATACATATCTACCTAAAAAATAAATAAATGAAAAGAAAAACAAGAGGAATAGCTTCCAAAGTGGTATACAGGACCGATTTTAAAAATAGGTTTAATTTCTTCTTTGAGCAAAGCAACAAACATGAAAAGACTCAGCAACATGTCTTCTAATATTTATTATATATTTACTGTGTCTGGAAATTTCTTGTCTTAATTACAAATCTATCATTTATAGCATTTTTCGTGATGTTAGGAAAAAAAACGCAGGTTCAAAAAATTATTTAAATACAAAGATACAAAATCCTACAACCCGAACGCTTTCGAAAAGTAGATCTTTCTTCATCGTAACAAACGGATAATTTATAGCATCTTTACATTGTTTAGAAATGTTGTTTCCTTAGTTACCAAGCCATCAGTTATAAAATCCTTACCCTGTTGAATTTCTTTTCTTAGTTACAAAGCCATCAGTTATAAAATCCTTACCCTGTTGAATTCCTTTTCTTAGTTACAAAAGTATTAGTTATAACATTTTAACACTGTTGAGGAATTTTCTTTCCTTAGTTACAAAGTTGCTAGTTAGAACCACCCGTACACTCTTGAATTCTTTTCCTTAGTTACGAATCTACTAGTCTAGAAAACTTATTTCTCTCTGTAGATTTTCTTGACACATTTCTAGTGTTATGAACACATGTATTTTGCGTATTTATTAGCAAACTGATATTCAACTATCATATAAGTTAGGTAAGGTCTTGAGTAAATCTGACCTTTAACAAACTAAAGAGAACAAGTTATGTAAATAAATGTTTAGGTAACTGACACAGAACGATGTGGTATAATTCACCTACCTTTGATTCCTATAACGGATATTCACTACCAGAAAGACACTTGCTAGCAAGATCCCCAGGATAGAGAAGGTAACCAAAAGAGAATAAACGGTGACACTAATCCTAGTTCTTTCAATGACAATTAGTGTTCTATCCATAGGGGGGTCGGAATCCCCTGGCAAAAAAACATGAAAGGAATGTTACTGCTGAAGATAGTATTAATCTATTATAATGTCATTCTACGCGAGAGATTATCTTTTAGGTGTGGATGTTTGTTTTTCAGAATATTCTAACTTACTAGCTTAAAAGCAGTTATAGGTTAGACGTGCAAAAGAAAAATTACAAATATGCTTTTTTAAATGTGTCTTAGATGTATGTTAAAAACACAATGGCTAACGTTACATTATTCCTCACTTTTTAAGATATATATTACAAGTTATAAAATATTTTCAAAATACACTACATAAAACAATTAATGGATAATTACCGTATTTTTTCGGAATATAAGACGCACCCTTATTTTGAAGAAAACAAAGCTACAGTCGCATTTGAAAGATTTTTATTGAACAAAAATTCATTTTGATACTTTAAAAAT